GTCTGTGTCTTTATTTGGAAACTGGTTGGTGGCCCAAAGAAAATGTCAGTTATAAATGGTGCCCCACACGGGGCACCAAATGTTTTAATCTTGGCACAGTGGCTGCACCTTAATCTACTGCTATCTCATCCAGCAATTACAACTCCACAGTTACTGGCCTTCTCCTCTGGTCTGGCGAGAATTCTGCTCCCGCAGGCACAGGCCCTGTCACTGCCACTAAAAGTAGCTTTAACTAAATCTCTATCATTTTAATTATGAATAAGGCTCAAGATTCAAAGGCTGGGGTGAAAATCTGTGAGCTCAGAGAGGCTGGGTAGCAACTAGCTAACCCTCTCTCTTTGCTGGCATCCATGGAAAACCTGTGATTCTGCTTCACCAGACCAGAAAATGCTATGCAACTCCAAACCACACGCCACTACTTCCTGTGCATCTCTCTGTCTCTTCCAGATGGCCTCTGATGCTCTGTGATTACTTTCTGTCAACTAGCTGCTAACACATCCTCCTGACCCAAGGTTAATTTTATTTAATTAATACAAATGCAAACCCAGAATTCACAGTGTGATCAAATATCCCCCAACAGGCTATGAAGGCAGCCATCTCCATTCTTGTTCTCCCTTCTTAGATGTATGTATTTGTAAACATAAATTTATCATTCAAGAGAACCACCCAATTTTCATATTGAAGACTTATCTAAATTTGATATTCTTTTATGTGAATCAAAAATGGTTAAGGTTGGTTTCCTTTTGATATGAACAAAGAGATCGCAGGGGCTGTAGTTTTGTAGGTGTCTGCTTATCTGCTGCATATTCTTGGTGATCACTAAGTCTTTACTTTTCAACATACACAGCATTATGTCACTTCTTCACACTTCCAACCAAATCTTTAGGAAGCATCTGGGGTAAGAGCAGAGAGTCTGTGCTTGCTCAAAATTACGTGTTCTGTCTTATTCATCTGGAAGTGACTAATCCCAACCCTTGGGTTTGCAGGGAGCAGAGATAGATGCATGTTTCAGAGGTTTGCAAACACTCACTTGCTGAAACACAGAGGACATATGACATCACCAACGAGATCCTGAAACTGTCCCTCCCACTGCCCTACGAGCTGCTGAGGTACTGCTCAGCACTGTAAGAACTGCTCCCTATTTTGTAATAATCCTGAGTGACGAGAGATTGACTATTCCATCTCTGAAATGCTTGGAGCCAGAAATGTTTCAGGAGGTTTTAGTGTTGATTTGGGGATAGCTACATAAACATAATGAGATATCCTGTGGATGGGACCTAATCCTAAAAATGAAATTTATTTATACTTCATATGTATCTTACACACACAGCTTCAAGATGACTATATATGGTATTTTAGCATGTCTATGCAGTGTTTGTTTGCTTGTTTATAATGCTGGGCATAGAGCTCAGAGCCTTGACCATACTAGACAAGCACTCATCCATTGAGCTACATCCCCAGCCCTCTGCCTGTGCATTGACTGTAATCATCACATTAATTCAGATGTAGGATTTTACACTTGTGGAAACCTTTCAAATTTTAGAGCATTTCAGATTATGGATTTTGCACTGGAGATGCTCAATATATCCTGGCTACTCAAACTGAATTTCAAAGTTCCTCAAAGAGAATTTTAAACTCAGTTTAATGTGTTTATGTGAGTGCTCCAAAGCACTGGTTCTCAACCCTGGCTCCATATGAAAATCATGTAGAGTGGTTTCATAAATATTAGCCCCTAGCTTCCCCTCCCTCTGGCCAATGCCCTTAAAAGAGTTTGGTCTAATTAACTTAGAAAGGGATTGGGCATCAGCACTTTCCAATCAGAAAATAGTTGGCTACTCCCATCACATTCAGGCCACTATTGTACCAATAGGCATAGCATTGCTGGCTGGTTGGTACTGTAGCTCACAGAGCTCACAGCTAGGTAAGATTTGATGACTAACCCCCACTCCCATCCCCCAACAGCCTATACAGCCCTTCTGGTACTTTAAAAGCCAGCTAGAAAGGAAGAAACTTCTAGATCAGCCCCAGCAGACAGTAAGTGACCGTGGAGTTCTTGGTTCTAAATGGACATAGGTATGATTCCTACTCCCACAAGGCTCATGGAACAATACAAAGGAGGTGGCAGAAAGATTCTAAGAGCCAGAGGTTGGGTAGGACTGCTGTAAAACAGGGCCCTTGCATTCATGAACTCACATCAGCTGTGATTATCTAAATAAGAACAAGGCAGTCAACACTCCGGCATGGATGGGAGAGGGTCCCATAAAGCCCATCTCTGGCTGAGGAGATACTGGTAGCTGATGCCTCCTGGAAGAGGACAAATCACTGTTCTTCAGGAGTCTATCTCTGGAAGGGGCTGCTCATGCTCCAGCAGATGCCCACACCCATGCACACAAGGGCAGCACTAATTGCGACTCAGTGAGCCATAGAAAGAAAAGGAAGACATGAAGTTAAAAGTGTGCTGAGAGCATTGAGAGAAGGGGAAATGGGATGGGTATGATCCAAAATACATTGTATACATCTCCAAAATTAGAGAATAAATAAAAATACTATTGAAAATGCATTAAGACAAGAAAATGGAAGGAAGCTACTTGAAAAGGGTGAACAGAGGCATGAAGAAGAATACACAAACAAGGGTAACTGAGAGGTGAACATGATCAAATTATAGGGTACACATTTATGAAAATATGAAACTGGTTATTTTATAAAGTGAATATGTGCTAATAAGAATCTTTACTTTTATGGGATATAAACAGATGTTATTTAAGACAAGTGTTTTGAGGTGAAATTAGTTTGGAATGTATGGGTTATATTTACTGTGAGACTCCTAAGAACTTTAAGTATCTGTGATATGAGTTTCCAAGGTGTGGTAATGAATATGCAAGAAGCTTAACCTACATGGGATGAGTTTTTAGGACTTGTTTTGGAAAGTAGCCCTTTATAACAGTGGTTCCCACATCCTAGCTAATGAAGGACAGCATTAGGTATCATTTGGCAAGCTTATTAAAACAATGATTCATGGGCCACACCCTAGGGGAGGGAGAATGCACCATTCAAATGAACAAACTGAAGTGATGCTTATGCATACCCACGTTTGGGGATAAGAGCTCTATGGATCATACTATAGAAAAGTAAATAATACTTGAAAGGCCAGGGCTGGGAATATAGTTAAACTGGTAGAGTACTTGCCTAGGCTGCCCAAGGCCACAGGTTCCAGCACTGCATAAACTGGGAGTGGTGGTGCACACCTGAGATTCCAGCACTTAGAAAGTAGAAGCAGAAGGACCAGAAGTTTAAAATTAGCCTCATTTATGTATCAACCTGTACTACATGAGGCCCTGTCTCAATAAATACATTTAGGGCTACATCAATGCCAAGCAGCAAGGACGGTCATATTGAATAGAGCCAGATAATAGCACTTGCTATGATTTGGACATGAAATCCTCCTCAAAATGTTCCTGTTTTGGAGACTTGTCTCCAGCATATGGATCCAATCACTGGAAGGTAACTGGATCATGAGGGCTCTGACATAATCAGTGGATTAACCCCTTGATAGATTGATAGCTTGATGTCATGTACAGGAAGATGGGGGCCTGGCTGTAGGATGTATGCCACTGGAGGCATGCCTTTGAAGGATGCTTTATCCTTGGCCCCTGCCTCTCAGCTGTCACAAGCTGAACACCTCTACTCCACCACATGCTTCCTTCAGGCTACTGTGCCTCACCATGACCCAGAAACAATGGAGCCAAGTGGCCATGTACTGAAACTAGAATCAATATGTGTCGGGTATTTTGCCACTGTGATGTAAGTTAACCAAGTTTTTTACTCATGAAATAAAAATACGTATTTTCATATCTTTTATGAAAAATAATGCCAAATGTTGAAAAGTGCTACTATAGCAAATGACTACTTCAGAATCTCTAAGAACAGACTTGGTTGTTTATCTTTATTACTAATAGGAAAGCAATGTATAGTGACCGGCAACCCTTCACCTGTTTGTTTCTTCATGTTCATCTTCTCTTATCAGAGTTGATGGCCCATGGCCAACTGAATAAACCCAGTGGTACCATCCTCCTGAGTAATCTCTCCTAGATTAGCTCGCAAAATTTCCTTCATATGATACTACCTCATAGCAGGAATATTAGTTCTTCCTTGACTGAAAATTTTAGAATGTATATTTGCTTATTACTCAGTTCTCTCAAAAATGTGTGTGGTCAATACATTATTTCAGTGCTCAAACCATGAACCTACTATGGTTATTGGTAAACATATTTGTACCATGTTTTTAAATTTGTCTATTTATTGATAGGGCCTCATGTATCAAGGCTAGCTTCCAACTTGCTGGATAGCTAGGAATGACCTTGAACTTGAATGTCTTAACCTCCTGCATACTGGGATCACATCTATGTATCAGCCATATTCAGTTAACATGGTCTGGAGATGGAACCCAGCAACTCATGCTTGCTAACCAAGCAGTCTCCCAACAAATCTGCAGCCCAGGCCTGTACCATGCTCTTTGCTTGTAGGCAATTTCACATGAATGATACTGTATCTGTAGTCACAAAGGCATTTAGGGTTAAAAAGACATAATCACTTACTTATAGCCAATAAAGACCACTGGACATTTCATGTACTAACACTGTGAAAAGAGTAAAGAATACACCAAGTCTCCTACATTAAAAGTAAATAATTATCTACTTTGAAAAATATAAAAATTATACACAAGAAAAAGCTAAGCACAGATATAACTAGAGCAAATGTACAATGGCAAGACTTTGTACATGCTAACACAGCTACCAGCCACTGAGCAGCCCATCACACTCAGCCTTGCCACCACTGTTAGGTCCATTTCCTATGCTTAGAGGAATTAAACAAGCCTGACCTTGTTTAATAGACAGCTGTGAACCCGGAGTCAAACCCTGGCAGTTCTCACCTGGAACATCTTTACCAGATGACTTACTACGGTCATGAGTCTGGGATAGTATCCCCCACAGGGACGTTACCTCTTTGATTCGCTTGACTAGAGCATTCTGATCAAAAGCAACCGCTTCTGCACACTGGTGCAGGTGATCTTGGTACCGTAGGCAGAGCTGCAACACCTGCTGAGAGTCCAGCTTCTCCAGTTTGGCATTTGTTGGGGACGTCTGTCCACTCAAGAGCCCTTCAGAGGAGAGAGGGGAAAATGAAATGAGAATTACTGCTAATAAACTTGGGATTACCTAGCTGAAGTTCATGGAGGCAGGGAAAGAGACACTTAACTCAGCATCTTTTGCTCTACGCAAATGAAAGTCACTGCAACTACCCCTGGCAAGGCAGCAAGCACTCCCCAGCCACTTTTACTGTGTGCTTCCTCTGCATTACTTTCTTAGCCCTGTTTTCCACATGACAGAGCCAAGACACAGAGAGGCTGAGCAACTTTCTGATCATCACAAAATGAGCAGTGGTTTCCCTCAGACAGAGCTGCTGGCCTTAGCGCAGTACTTCAGTTTCTTGACTGAAAAGGATGGAAGATGCATTTACTTAATTTTAATTACTATTGGTTACTAATATGGCTACCTGGAAAATGTATAAGGAAATTACTAGAATATGATACCAAAATTAAAACAAAAGCCAGACTGCCAGCGAACGGGCCTGAAAGGCTGTGTCTTTTCCTAACATTGGTTGGCTTAGCTGTAGTACACCAGTAAGCACAGGGGACTATGTTCTCAAAACCTTCACACTGAACTACCATGCTTTCCTACAGGGGCATATGTCAGGTAAAATCTGCTTCAGAAGAAATCAGTTCAATTACAGAGGCTACTACACTTGCCTATGATCAGAAGTCCTGACTAGAACTTAAGCCCATGGACATTTGGTTACCAAGACAATGCAAGTGTGATATGAAGCAAGCCCCTCCTACATATTCTCAAGAATTACTGACATTGTATTTACTGTTGTTAACCTATTAAAAGTTAAGACTGATGAAATTCTTTAGTGTTAAATAAATGCATGCTTCTCACAAATATTTGAAATAATAGTTAACACGTCACAGTTAACATATAACTGATTTTGAGGAAAATATTTTTATTTTCCAAAGCATAAAAGTCAGAAGGGTGATACTGGTTTCTATTTTCACATGTCTTTTTAGTGGTTTGCTTAACAGAAAGTGCTGGATCCTCTTAGCTCCCCTGCTTGTAAGTCAGCGTCTCTCCTCACAGAGTCTCTGAGGAACTCCACTATACATCCACTATACACTTTTAAGACTGGCACTGGTGTGCAAATTATGTTCGAGTATTACCACAAAAATAGTTTGACCTCAGAGACTCCCTTGTGACACTCGCCCTCCAGCTGGCACATTCTGAGAATCATTCATTCTGCCATATTGTCCTGCTCTTAACACTAGAGCACAAGGAACATCAAACATACATGACCCTGGGCATGTGCTGGGCCTCCCATGCCAAAACTCAGCCTGCCCTTCCACCTTCGGGCCCTTGCTGTTCTCATACATGGGAATTCGATCCAAGCTTTTTCTCGCGCGGGATGGTGTGCAGTGGGCCATGCAGTTGTGCTGTGTCAAGAATCCTCAGGCATGCTACACAGTGCTCACATCCTCATGGGACTCAGCCCTTGGAGGTGGAAGCATGAGGATCCATAATGAATCCAAGGTCAACCCGTGATACACGAGACCATGTCAAACAAAATAAAGAATGAATTATATTCCAGGGTAGAATTTATGTTTTTTTTTTCAATATAGTCCCTCAAATTTTAACTTTAATTAATCCTCTGAATTTCATACAATGTGTTTTCTAATTACACAGGAACCTGCTCCAGAATCCCAAGCAGCCTGCTTACGGTTCTGAGCCACCTTTTTCCCCCTAATGACTGAGCTTTAAACCACTAATACATAGCTTAGGTTAATTAAATGGATGCATTTTTTTTATTGCCTATCAGTTGTTCAGAATGAGCCGATACCATTTCGGGTCTAAAATAACCATCCAAGATAAACATCCACTCTCCGCCTAATGGAGGAAATGTGAGTAAACTGCTCGCTGAAAAGAGCACGGTCCCCAGACATGAGGAGGCCTCGATTTTAAAGCACCCCCATTTTGTGGCACGCTGACGTAATCTTAGCCTCGCAAGGTATCCTGGGATCTTGGATGCAGGGTAAGAGGGAATCCCTTAAGCCAGAGGAATAAGGTAGAAGCTACATGCAAATGCAGTGCTCAACTTCCTCCTGAGCTAAATCTATTCTTTTTTTTTTTAATGGTTAATTCCGTTTATTTATTTATTAAAGATTTCTGTCTCTTCCCCACCACCGCCTCCCATTTCCCTCCCCCTCCCCCAGCCTAGTCCCCCTCCCTCGTCTGCCCAAAGAGCTATCAGGGTTCCCTGCCCTGAAGAAAGTATGGAATATATACATATTAGAGTACTACTCAGCAGTAAAAAACAATGACTTCTTGAATTTTGCATACAAATGGATGAAAATAGAAAACACTATCCTGAGTGAGGTAAGCCAGACCCAAAAAGAGGAACATGGAATGTACTCACTCATATTTGGCTTCTAGCCATAATCAAAGGACATTGAGCCTATAATTAGTGATCCTAGAGAAGCTAAATAAGGAAAACCCAAAGAAAAACATATAGGCATCCTCCTGAATATTAACCTTCATCAGGCAATGAAAGGAGACAGAGACAGAGACCCACGTTGGAGCACCGGACAGAAATCTCAAGGTCCAAATCAGGAGCAGAAGGAGAGAGAGCATGAGCAAGGAACTCAGGACCGCGAGGGGTGCACCCACATACTGAGACAATGGGGATGTTCTATCAGGAACTCACCAAGGCCAGCTGGCCTGGGTCTGAAAAAGCCTAAGATAAAACCGGACTCGATGAACATAGTGAACAATGAGGACTACTGAGAACTCAAGAACAATGGCAATGGGTTTTTGATCCTATTGCACGTACTGGCTTTGTGGGAGCCTAGGCAGTTTGGATGCTCACCTTACTAGAATTTATGTTTTAATAATTAATTTGTAAGTGGGATTTTTCTTTTTTACATTTTATTGCAATATAATTTTCAAACTATAGGAAACCAGGAAGTAAAAGAATACCCAAACACATCTATGCTCCACAAGTCACATTTTATAATACCCAGACCTTTTCTGAGTCATTAAAGGAAAAAAAAAAGCAGACATTAGCCAGGCAGTGGTAGTACACACCTTTGATCTCAGAACTCTGAAGCAGAGGCAGGTGGATCTCTGAGTTTGAGGTGAGTTCAGGACAGCCAGGGCTACACAGAGAAACCCTGTCTCAGAAAAACCAAAAAGCCAGAAAGCAAATAATAATAATAATAAAGTAGACATCATGATTCCTCACTACATAATAGACATCTGTCCGTGTTTACTGAGCTCAGACCTGGGCTAATGGACTCCATTTATTACGTGGTGCTTGAGAACGGCAAACACTGGTCATAGTTCTTAAGAACATGCTGAAGCCACTCTCTTTATACAGAAGTAAGGAGTGGGCTCCAAGGACTGGGTGAGGTAGGGATCCAGAGAGACACTAATAGAGCCAACAAATTGCCAACTATACCGATCTCTTAATGTAAAGTGTTAAGGGGAAAAAATCATGGGGGCTAGAAATTCAGTTCCCATTTTTCTGAGTTATTTTACGTTAAACATCGTAACAGTTAAAACATAAAATATAGTACAGAGCCATGTGCTTATTAAATTACGCCATTGCCAAACTGAATGTCTCAACCCTGAGAGCTTAGTTGTAAAATTAGAAATTAACAGTATAATGTTGGACACATATTTTTTAAATGACAGAATCTAGAAAGTAGACTCTAATACTTTGGCAAAAGTTACTGGAAAGGTATAATTAAGTAACATGCTATAAAAAATGAAAAGAACCACCTCTGTGTGAGCTAAATGCTAGTGTCCTCACCAAATTGCCATTTGAAATCCCACAGTACCTGTTTCCACATCCCAGCACTAGGATTACAGGTGTGTACCACATCTGGCGCTGTGTGTGTGCACAACCTACTGTGTGTGTGCACATCCTACTGTGTGCGCGCACATCCTACTATGCCTGCGTGCATAGTTCAGTACTACTATGAAGATCAGAGGACAACTTGTTTGGTATAAACCTTTAAAACTTCTTTAGCTTTAAATGTTTTTATTAATCTTTTGAGAATTTCATTCATGCATAAAATGAATTTTGATAATATTCATTGCTTTCAGACCCTCTTCTCATGTCCCTCCTAACTTCTTGTCCTTTTTATAAGTAACCCATTGAGTCCAGTTAGTTCTGCTTATGTACCTCTGAGTGTGGGATCATCCACCGGAACCTGGTCACCCAACCAGGAACCACACCCTGAATGAAAACTGACCCCCTCCTCTAGTAGCCATCAACTGTCAATAGCTCTAGAGTCTGTCTCACCCAGCACTAAATGGGTCCTAGGAACCAACACAAGCTGCGTACAGCTCTCAGCAAGCACCTTTACCTGCTGGACCTTCTTGCTATGCCTGTCGTTTTCTGTAAGTTCTAGGAGCCCAACTCAGGCCCTCATGGTCACACAGCATGCACTTTACCCAGGAGTCAACTCCCCAGCCCCTGCTCTTGCCTTTTCTAACCAGAGCTGTGTGCCTTACCCTGCTTTCCCACCTCCTCAGTCCTACTCCTCCCTTTCTAAGAATTAGCATGGTAGGGCTGGGGGTGGGGCTGAGAGGTGGCTCGGCTGGTCCAGTGCTTGACGAGTGTGCACAAAGCCCAGGTTCATGCATAGACTAGGCATTGTAAACAGAGACTGCTCGTTGGTGCCCAGTAGCCCAGACCCAAATAATCACACAGAAACTATATTAATTACAACATTGCTTAGCCAATAGCTTAGGCATATTCCTGCCCAATTCTTATATCTTAAATTAACCAATTTCTATTAATCTGTGTATCACCACAAAGCTGTGGCCTACTGGTAAGGCTCTGGTGTTTAGGCTGCGATGTTCTCCTTCGGCAGCTACATGATATGTCTTTGTCCTCTCTCTCTCTCTCTCTCTCTCTCTCTCTCTCTCTCTCTCTCTCTCTCTCTTTCTCCATCTCTATATGGATTTCCCACCTGGCTTTACTCTGCTAAGCCACTGGCCAAAACAGTTTTATCCATTAGCCAATAAGAGCAAAATATATACA